GGTGGTTACGTGTTGTGTTTAGATCGGTTAAGAAATGGTTGTACAGAAAACATAAGAAAATTTAGACAATAATTACATGGTTACTAACAGTGTTAAGCTAGTAGTTAAACACAAGTTTTATTTTTTTGCTGTATATCTACAAAATATTAATATAATTATGGAAGTATATACCGATGTACATAATAAACTCTAAAATTTTGGGAACCAACACCTATGTTTTATAGAATTGTGTCCAGGTCTAGTTTCTATCCTTATTTTGATTTTGGTGAGGAAAAATGTTTTATACCATATTTTCTTTTTTTCTTGTAACAGTTTTATACCATATCATAAAATATTAATAGTACTTAATTTCGGATGTAAGGAAAAAATAGGATCTAAATGTCTCCCTTTTTTAAAACATTGGTTGATATGGTCAAGAACATTTTGGTAACAACAAAAACAAATACCTAAGTTTGGGTGGAGTATATATTTCTCATACAAAACTGATTTGGATGAAAAAGATAATGACTAAATTTCAAAACAGATCATTTTGCTCTTCAAACTCCACCACGATCTTTTTTATTATTTTTACATACTAAATTAACTCATAAATAATCTCTTAAACCATACTACTATTTTTTCTTGGCTAAAAGAATTACTAAAATGATAATTGCTGATAGTTCAGAAAACCTTTTTAAACAATTATGATAATTAATATGAGTATCTAGAAGCTCTGACAACAGAAAATATAAAAATTGATCTAATTGCACAATAAATTATAATTTAGAAGAATAAAATATTTAATTTATCAACTGAAAACTGCTAATCAGATACAATCGTGTTCACAACTTTCTTTAACTTTTGAAGAAGTACATTTGCAAGTGATGAAGCCATCATATCAAGACATCAACTATTTTACATTAATTAGTTACAAGAATAACAATGAACTAGATTAATATCCATACATTTGCACGGAATGAAAAATTATATATATAATATCAATATATTCATAAAATATAATTCACTTTATTATTATGAATATTAAGCATCAATACACTTGAATATATTTAACAGTTGTTACGGTTTTAAAAAGAAGCGACAGTATAATGTCTTGACTTAGTACTAGTTAATTAATTGATGGACAGACAAAAAAGTGATATTTTATTCCTTTAGGAACGTAATTAATATTTTTAAGAAAAATATAGTACTAATTTTTTTTGCTTTATATCATAGATTTTCCTTATGTATTATTGCATAAATTTATGCATAGTTAATATTTTTTTAAAAAATATAGTACTAATTTTTTTTTGCTTTATATCATAGATTTTCCTTATGAATCATTGCATAAATTTATGCTATTTATTTCCCCATTTAGTTCACAAGCATAAAATAAATGTTCATGACACACTATTTTGACGACATCCGTCTTTCTATAGTCTTCAATTATTGTGGGTTTATTATTGATTTATAATAACCGTGAGGCAGGCAAATATACTACTCCTCTATCATATGATTTTGGCTGACTTAGGTTTTAAAAGGCATACAAAAATAAGATTCTGTCCGATTATAGCATTAAAGTATAAAAAATTAGGAGGACAATTCCCAAATTCCGCCCGAATTCAATTAACTAATCCCGGAAACCTGTCTCATAAAGTTGTTTAACAATATCAATAAACCCTACTACCCTAGTAAATAATCCTATTGACTTATGTTGTTCTATTCAATATCAACAAGTAGCAAAAGGTTGATCTGTACTAAACATTTTTCGATTATAAGGTCAGAGCTTGATGCAGGTCCAAACATAATTTATAATCGTAATAACTAATAATTCACGGCTATTTTTTTTTATAAAAAATATAACAATGTGAATAAGTTTCATCGCAAACAATGATGTCGATCATTGATCAGAGGTGGATCTAGCACAATATTTAGACGGGGCACATCAAAAAATTTCATTATGTCTACTTGTAAGAACAGAGAACATTATATAAACTAGTATTGATTAGTAAAGGAAAAAATAATAATCAGACAGGGTCAGATGACCCTATAGGTCTCCACTTACGTCCGCCCTGGACATTGATGGCAGTTGTTTTTCTTGTGTGTAAATAAGCTAGTGTTAGATCATAAAGATGTACACGAGCAAGACAAGTAGAGAACTGTTAGTAGTAAATTAAAAGTTCAGAGCTTATTTACTTCACCACCGAATACAAATAACTATATTTGATTAAAAAAACTAATAAATTTCACTCCAATAAGGAAATTCAAATGGTGGCATGCGAATGAATTTCTATCTATCACAAAATCACAAACACACATTAACAATTTCACTATTTGTGATGCAATTTATATTTTACTGGATTGAATGTGGCATCCGACAGAAATGCCTTCAAAACTGTAGTTACGTTATAGTATGATTTTTTAATTATTTTATTTTTATAAATTTTATCTGCTGATCCGGTCAGTTCTGAAAAAAATACATTTAATACTAGAAAATTGACTAATTCAAAAACGTTATTATATCTGATCCGAGTTTAGAATATATTCCTATTAATGCCATTATAAAGTTGTGTTGCCATTTTCTTATAAGACGGTCATATATTCAATTTTTGATGATTCCATCAATTGTTTATTTAAATAGCAAACAAGAGAGACGAAAAACAAAGATAATAAATGTTTGGTCCAAAAGTCATGTATTAAAATGAGTTAGAGAAAAAAATCGTTTAAAAATCACAAAGTAAACGAAGTAGAATAAAACTTGCCTTAAAAAATCAAACCAACAATTCAAAAAATATAAATCAGTAGTACCATCGCCTTACTACTGAGCACGCATAATTTTTGTTGTCATCGTGTACTCTCTAAGAAGTTTGACTTATTAATATCTTTTGGCGAATGCATGTTCGACAATATAATTTGTAATTGCTTAAATATATTAATGTAAAAAGAAATGTGGTGTGTTTCAAAACAAAAAAGGTGATTTTTTTTTCTTGTTTTTGGACTGTAATGTTCTCCCTGACATTTTTTCCTTTCTAATCGTTAATTTTCTATTCCTCGTAACTTTGTAATATAGACATAAATTGATTAACGTAAAATATTTTATATTATTTACATTAGTTAAAATGATGTAAAAATTAAATTATGTTGATATTTGAAACGAGATTAATGTTTGCAGTACCACTATACCGTTGGCTTTGATTTTCTATTACAAAAAAAAAGTGAAAAGCTTGAACATGGTTTATTCTAGGCATAGTTTAATCTGAAGTCAAACCTGTCGCGCAGACTAATTAATTAATACTCCATCCGTTTCTTAATATATGATGTTTCGGGTTGATGCACGAAGATTAAGAAATTTACATTATTCTAAAAGTACTTTAGAAGATATAATATTATAATCATTCAACCAATTATAAAAAAAGACTGTAAAATTTTATTGGTTGAACAGTTTCGAATATAATTAAAGTTAACCTTAAAACCTCAAAAGATACCTTAAAACTTCAAAACATCATATATTTTGAAACAATTTGAACCTTCTAAAACATCATATAATTTAAAACAAATGGAGTATTATCTACGTTCTTAAAATAAAATGCACTATTATTTGTTTCGTACATAAGTTAATTAATCAGGACTAATTAAGTCAAGACATCATACATTTTCTTTATTGATGATTTATATAGATCGAACTTGATTCAGGATAGTCATCCGACGTCGGGTTCTAGAACCAGAGCTTATTTCTCCCTCCGCTTAGAGATTTTTTGTTATCTGTTCTTGTGAAGTCTTTATTTTTCTATAATTTTCATTAAATTTTCCTATAAAAGTACGTGCTTTCACAAGAAAAAAACTTCAGCATGCCCATCTGTATTTCGCTATCTTTTTGATAAAAAGTTATAATCTAAAATAAAAATTGAAATAATATTACAAAAGATTAGACAATACTTTTTTGCAAACACATTAGCTTTCGGTATACATAATAAATATAAATGATGTGTTCTTTTTTTTATATCAACACATGCTTAGATTGAATGCAACAGAATCGTCGTTGGCTCTACACCTTCTGGTTCCTATCTGTTTTTCCCGAAACCCATTTTATTTTATTAGAAGCCAGATTAAAAAAGCTAAACTGAACCATAACAATTAATTTATACCAAACAAACTACATTACATTGACATAGACTCTCAAATTTATAAAACGAAATTACATAGAAATAGTACAGACTCCTAAAATCTCATGATCGATTCTAGTTCCATGATGTCAACCTCGAATGGCCAAATGTAGCGCTTTGATTTTTTGTTTCTGACTAGACTCCAATCATACATTCTTCTCTCTTTCATGGATGACAAAATCATCTATGAATCCTAAAATGCGCATCCCTAAATCACCTTAAATGACTTCACAGATCGCATACTATGAATATAAGTAAAGTATTTTTTTTTGTTAGTTTTAGATACTGACTTTGACAAGCTCCATCTTGTTCTTGAGTTATTTTTCGTCTAAACCTTATCCTATTAGCTCCTTAACTCCATCTTGGTAACCAACTCTTACCTAATAACAAAAATACAGTTTCATCTTTGACCTATATGCTACTTTAAAAATTCAAAGCAAAACTCAACAAGAAGAGTTAGTTATATATCCTCTAGAGGTGCACATATCAACAAGGTCGTTGTAGTATAGTGGTAAGTATTCCCGCCTGTCACGCGGGTGACCCGGGTTCGATCCCCGGCAACGGCGTTCTCTTTTTTATTGCCACAGCAAAATAATAGCTTCTCGACATCTTTGTTTAACCAGTCATCCAATAAAAGCCAGTTACAGCCTGAATTAGTAAAAGCACATTGTAAAAGCAAAACAATATTTTGAGATTCAATACAACTACAAGAAAATGTTATAAACATTTCTATTGTTCCTGCACATCCATGGATATAGACAGAGTCAAATTGTCTCTACACTTGTTCAAAAGAATTGAGTCCAATAAGAAAAAAGCAAAAAATAAATCAGAAAATTCAGAATGAACAATCAGAGACTTGAATCAGTCTTTCTCTCCTTTGTTGTTATTATCAGAGGTATCACCGGATTTCCAAACCACATCATTAATTGTGGTCGAGAGCTTCTTGTAGAACTGCAAAAAAACAAAAACAAAAACATATACACACACACATAAGCAACTGTCCTCGAGATAACATTTTCACATAGTAGAAAAAAATGAATATTCTTATTGATTACCTTATGAAACTCTAATGTATCCCCTTTGGTTTTCCGGACTTCCACCATATGAAGAGACGGAGATACTTGAAATATCTAGAAAAACGTTACACTAGATTAAGCCACTTCTTTAATACCGATTCAGATTTAATAATAGCCAAGAATCAAGAGTGTGCATATTGTACCTCAGTAGCCACTTTTAGGGTTCCCTTCCTTCCAGCATTCACGTTTTCAAGTCTCATCTGTGTACCCAAACAAGGTAGTGATTTAGTGAAAGTGACACGTAAGATTTGTATCATTCAATATCCCATGAAAGAGAGAACTTGCACACCACAAGAAGTGACCAACACGTGATATAAAATGCTAACTAGGCTTTTAAATTTTCTACTCTAATTAGTAATCCTTTTAAAAGTGGTATGTTCTTGTCTTTGTATTCTTTACTGTAACAGGAAGCAGTTTACAGAAAGGAGAAACCATGTTCAATAGCTGTTAGGGTCTCACACGAATCGGTTTACCTTATAGTTTTTCTTTTGAATATCGAAACCAAGAGTCTTAGTAGCTGCTTCAATCTTTTGGACTAGTTCATCAGCACCGCCTGTGGCTGCAAATCTTGTTTCTCGCTTGTATCCCTATTAAGTTAAATGATATAGACTTGGTGAGTAACAATTTAATGTGGAATGACCAGACCCTGAAACTTTCTAACATATCTACAATTCAAGCATGTAAGTATTATTAGTCTAAGAGACACACCTCTTGTTCTTCAAAAAAGTTTCCGAGATCCAGAGCCCTCGACATTGATATCAACTCAAAGGCATTCATAGAAGTTGGCTGCTCATCTTTCTTTTCTGTGACATGATGCTCCTGCTCATAAACCACAAATTGTTATGGTCCTTATTGACATTTATTGAGTAGCTAAAAAGGAGAAGAAAGAACTGAATCATCATAGAGATCTCTTTGTATTAAATAAATATGACTTACTTCTGAATCTTTAAAAACATCTTCCACATCATCCAACGTTGCTTCTTCTTCTTTCTCCTCGAAAACAGCTGGCTTGTAATCTTTCTTGAACCACGCATCTTCGAGAATCTCTGGAACTTTGATACGCTGTCATGTTTACGCACAGTCAATTAGTTTCACTGTTGAAATCAATGACGAGTGCCAAACTCGGATGTTTTATACAGTATATGCTAAGGTTTACATGCAAAGGATATATTTAAAAGTAATCAAGAGTCTTTTTGTCACTCCTACTATTATTACCCTATGCTCTAATCAAAAGCCTAATAATTAAATAGAACAAGACAATAATAAGCCATTAATTATATCATAATTAAGATACTAAATCAAACAATATAACTTAAAAAAAAAAACAAGATGAGAAGATAGGTTATTTTACAGTCATCGGGTTTGGATCCAAGATTCGGGCAATCAAGTTCTTGGCACCAGGAGAGAACCAAGGAGGACAAGTATATACAGCAGCTGTTATCTGAAAGATGATGAAATTACAACGTGGAAAAGAATAATCACAGATATTAGTGGTGAAGGATGAAGCTTTAGAAAGAAAAAAAATATTACAAAAGTTGTTAATTACCTTTCTGTACAGCGTCATAAGATTAGAATCCTCGAAAGGAAAATGGCCAGCAAGTAGAACAAAGAGTATCACTCCACAGGACCACAAGTCTGCGCTTGCCCCATGATAGCCTTGATCTTTAAGAACCTTTGGGACAAGGAGCAACAAGCAAGAATATTAAAAACTTGATGCAAAATCTGGATGAGAAGCCACATACATGACTAAGCATATACCTCAGGAGCAGTATAGTTTGGAGTTCCACATGTAGTGTGAAGAAGACCATCTCCCTGCCAAAAGGCCAAATAAGTCTTATAATCAAAGGATCTGAATATTTGCATATTTAGAAGAACATACACTGCTGGAAATTACACAGGATAAGAAGAATTTTTTTTTGGCTATAGTATCTACTACATTTGGATTTAGAAAGAGAAGTGTCACTATATTATCCCAAATCTTATTAGATATTTGTAAATAAAACCAATCAAATACATCATTTTACTGAACATCAGGCACATTCATTAGAATATAACAAGGAAAAATAAGCAAGAACTCAGGCAAACCAAAGGATGCTAATTAAGAAGAAGAAATATTACCCCGGCTTGTATGGACAAGGCACTCAAACCAAAATCAGAGACTTTCAGATTTCCTTGAGCATCTAGAAGCAAATTTTCAGGCTGCAGAAGGAAAGTAATTAAAGAAGAAAAATAGTAGGCATCAATTAGCTGCACCAAAGAAAAAAAAAAAAAGAGAAAATCCTGGAAAAAATGGCACAAGATTTACCAAAAAAAAGAAGATTAGTAGTACCTTTAAGTCTCTGTGGTACACTCCCCTGCTATGGCAGTAATCAACTGCATTGATAAGCTGCTGAAAATATCTACGTGCTACATCGTCTCTCAAGCGCCCATTACGTTCCTGCATAAGTTTAGAGTTGACACAAAAGTTTAACATGAGATATATATATATATATATATATATATATATAAAAAATGTTATAGCAGTAAAATACAAGAACATTTATCAAGATTTCACCGGATTAGCATGAAGCATTTGATACATGATTAAAACACCAAAAGATTACAAGTTTTTAAAGCCGTCAGGAAATCTCACAATTTTGAAAAAAAGCTCTCCACCCATGGCAAATTCTAGGACAATGTATATCTTTGTCTTGCTAGCCAAAACCTGAAACAAAATCAAATTATTTTCTTTAAAATTTAGATTTCAACAGATTTGATCCTCTTAGCAAAGGCTTCTTAATTCATGGAAAAGATTGAGACCTCATGGAGCCGCACTACATTTGGATGGTTTATCAGCTTCATAGTAGAAATTTCTCTCTTTAGCTGTAAAAAAAAGCAAACGGGGAAGAGCCACATTATACTTTGGGATCTATTTTATGTTTTAAAAACCATGTAATGTGACAAGAGGCATGAGGAAAAAAATACCTGTTTAGACATCTCGTTTTTGATAAGCTTCTGTTTATCAATGATTTTAAGAGCAACGGATTCTCCTGTCTCAGTGTCCTTAGCATACCTCACTTTAGCAAAAGTGCCTTGTCCAATAGTTTTGCCAACTTCATATTTACCAACACGACGCTGGACCTTTGGTTGATTCATCACTCCCAGTTTCACCTCTTGACCTTTAAATTGTTTATCTTCTCAATTGCACATAAACTAAATGAAAAAAAGGACAAAGTAGCTGTCAAGAAGAAAAAAGTCATATGCCATGAAGACAGAGAGACAAAAGAAGGTAAGAAATCCACAAGGCTATGACAAATCTAGCAGAAGAATGTTTCCTCAGAATCTTATGAACTTAGATAGCCATCATCAAATAGTTAAAGCACACATACAGGTTTTGAACCGATCCAACTTCTTAACTAAACCAAGAATCGTATGCATGTGTGTATATACACTATACAAATGAAGTAGCATCATCCTCGAGCCATCTCAAATCATCTATCATATGTATAAGATTATGCTCCAAGACACCTAATCACTATTCAAATTGCATAACAGTATTGAAAAACACACACCTGCAAAAACCGGATGAAACGTTTCCACGGAGCACAAAAGTTAGCAGGAAGATTCCTATGGCAAAAATAAAAATTAAAGGGATAGAGAGAGATGGGAGAAGAGACGATCTTATTTCATTTCCCTGCGGAGACAAATCATACGTTTAGTTTCATTCCTTTTGTGAGAAAATTGATTCTTTTTCCACCCTTAATTTTTTTCTTAAGTAATAAGTTTATTTTTTTACCTTTTCTGGGTCATATTATCTTGACTTGACTAATGCAATGACAGAATAATTGGGTATTTATTTTACCAACAAAAAAATAAATACTGAGTATTTAGATTTGAAAGAGACCTTTTTCTTATTTAAAATGTTTTATAAGCGGGAAAAATAATCGATGCTTTGGTTTAAAAGGATTATTTTGATTAGATGTGTAGAAGTTCTTTGATTTGACCGATTTTCCAAGGCCTACATGTTGTAGTATAAATATAGATATGAATATGGACTAATTCAATTTTTATATGACTTTTATATATTTAGAAAATGAATATATCTTGACTAAATGATTGGATTTCTTCGCAGAAGATCATGAACAAAGCTTATGCTTATCATATATACAGTTTACTATTTGTATATAATTCAGTATCGAATTTTAAAATGTTAATTGATATATATATGTATATATATATATGATTTGGAAAATATTATAGTTACTAGGTGTTTTGCATAATAATGGTATAGTTAATTAATAGCATATGTATTATAATTTAAAAACTACATAAATTTAGAAGGAACATGAAATTACTTATATATACGACAAAATAGTAATTTTGATTATTTTATAGAAATTTATCTTAAATTCATTTTATACTTTGTCGTATAATCACCAATGGTAAAATTACATAGAACAATGTATTTTCTTGAAATAACTTAAACTGAAAACCAAGAGAACATTCATCAAAGGAATCATAAATTTTCATTCCCCCCCCCCCCCCGGAAAAATAAATTACAAAAAAAAATGACTAACACTAAATTATATAATTAATGCAAATCAATAATGAAAGAAAAATATTATACTTATAACGATATCAACTATACCAATTCAATTAAAACGCTTTCTGAATTTTTTATGTATTTAAAAAATTCAGCACCTTAACTTTAATCTTTAAATTCTAACTAAAATAAAAAGAGTGAATTTTGTTCGTCATGATTTTATATTGGTTTTAATTAGAATTATGTTCTACTCGTCAAAATTACAAGTTAATCAAAATAATTATATATTTGATTACAAAATTTAAATTAATGAATCACTTAAAATATGACATAAGTACAATAACTAAAATCATGAAAAGCATGACACAATCAAAAGTAACTGAAATTATGGAGAATAAAAAAAATCAATTCTAAAAAAATAATATAGATTAAATATACAGCTAGTTTGGTTCTTATTGAAATTATTGGCGTTCGGGAGTACCTCTATTACACCTTAAGAAAAAAAATTACTACTGAATCTTCAAAGGCCCAATTATATATAATTGTATCTCCAAAGGCCCAACTACTTACATTGGGCTGCCTCACTTTATAAGCTCTTCTTCCAGGGAAAAGGAGAAAAAAAGCAAATCAGCATCAAAAAAGTTTCTCAGATTTCCCAAAAAGAAAAAAAAGCTTAGAAGAAAGAAAATGGCGGATCAGCTGACCGATGACCAGATCTCAGAGTTCAAGGAAGCCTTCAGCCTCTTCGATAAGGATGGAGATGGTATACGTTCTCTTCTCAGATCTAGTTTTTTTAACGATGGAGATGGTGTTTGAATGTTTTGCTTTCTTAGGGTTCATTCGTGTGTCACTTGTCACTGCTAATCGTAGATTGTATCGTTCTGGATCTTAATTTCTGCGACGATCTCTTGTTGGATCGTAATGATTCATAGCCAGTTGATTGTTTGTATCCATAGTTTTTGAGATTGATTTGTTAATTGAGAGGGAAATGGGATCCGATTTGATGTCTTTATCGTAGATTGATTATGCGAATAAAAAGTTCTAATTACATTGAAAATCATTCTTAGAATGCACATAAGAAGGATCCACATGAGTCTAGGATTCTTAGTACAATGCACATAAAGAAACATGAAGTAAAAAGAATATTATTTAATTCTCATTAACATTTTAGTAAGACTTAAAAATATTGTTTATTTAAGTTCCTCTCTGTTGATATAGCTAAAGCTTATACATGAATGTTTGTTTGGTTTGCAAGGTTGCATCACCACCAAGGAGCTTGGAACCGTGATGAGGTCTCTGGGGCAAAACCCAACAGAAGCTGAGCTCCAAGACATGATCAACGAAGTCGATGCTGACGGGAACGGGACCATTGACTTCCCTGAGTTCCTGAACCTGATGGCGAGGAAAATGAAGGACACTGATTCGGAGGAAGAGCTCAAGGAAGCCTTCAGGGTTTTCGATAAAGATCAGAATGGTTTCATCTCTGCAGCTGAGCTTCGTCACGTGATGACTAACCTTGGGGAGAAGCTGACCGATGAGGAAGTTGATGAGATGATCCGAGAGGCTGATGTTGATGGTGATGGTCAGATCAACTATGATGAGTTCGTCAAAGTCATGATGGCTAAGTGATCTCATTCCCAACCCGATTTATGATGTCTTTGCTTTGGTTAGTGTTATTTGATGTATGAACTCGTGTTTTGCGTATCCTTTGACAATTTGATGTTCTCTCGTTTTTATTATTGTTTGTTTTCGACTCTGTTATTTGATTCTCTTCAGTGAATGCGTTTTCTTACCCTTGAGTTTGGCTCCATCTCCAAAGCGGAACAAGTCTAGATGAATTTGCAAATATCTGGTCTCTGCACAATAAAAACTGTATGGTTGCTAACAATTAAGCTTGTTATTAGAAAGGAACTTTATTTTACAGATTCTACGGGAACACAAAAACAAAAACGAAAAAAATAGTATTTTCTTTGTTACATTGAGAAGCATTGTACATTACAGCATCAACAAGGCACCAATAAGGTTAATAATGAACTCAGAAACGTGGTGCACTCGGTATCAACAAACAATAAGTTCTCGCAGAATTGAGTGGTTAAGATTTTTTTTAAAAAGGCATTGGATTTGGGTTTTAAGGTTTACCGTCTGAGCGGTTTGTAGAGGACAACAGTTATGTACTTAGACTCGAACCTGTGTGTTAAACCCAAAGCTACAATGGGTTGAGGACTCCATCCTTTCTCTATGAACACATGGTTAAGCACCACATGCTGAGGCTTTGTGGCTTTGCCTGTTTCTTCACTAGTGTCAACAAGTGTTAGACGAAGCTGAGGTGGCACAGCGAGTGGCTCTTTTGTGTAATCCGCTGCAGTTGGGAGGGCTTGTCCGTAGCTATGATCAGGTGACGGTGGCGCCGCAAACTCCGCTATGCTTTCTGGGTTTTCTGGCACAAAGTTCTGCATAATGATTTGGAGGAGATACTCCTTATTACACAGTGCAGATTGACTAATAGGTTTAACATGAAAAAGAGCCTACTTACATGAACGTCGAGAATGTTATAGACATTGCCCATTTCGTCTGAGACAGAGGGTAAATCTGGGATGAATTTGCATTCACCATCGACGATCACCTTGTAGTGGTATATGCCAGATGGGAGGACAAGGAGAATTGAGTGGTCTTTTCCAGATTTTTCCAGCTTCTTCCTAGAGAATGTAAATATCTATATGTTTAGTGTATGTATATGGCTTGAGAACAAAAGCTCTGAAGAAACAAATCAGAGCGTATACCTTGATCTCCAGTTGTCCCATGATCCTTCCACGGCCACATTATTACCTCCCTGGTTCCATGTAATGATAATAGGGATTCCTTGCTCTGTGGGAACATCAAAAACTCTTTGAGATTGGTTCCATTGGATTTTATTGGGCGAAGGAGGGGCGTTTGCCCTCTGCAATGGAGCCACTGGAACCTGATATACATGCGCATACATGATGAGGCGTCAGATTTTTCAAAGCAAACGCTAGAAGAGTTTTCAACACGAAATGCAGCCATTAGGTACACATGTGATGCCTAAATAATGGAAGAGGTGATACATAGAAGCTGTAAGGTGTGAAGCGGAATGATGAACTAACGAACAATAGAATAAGACGTTTACTATATGGTATAGACAAAGCCCTGACTAGCAAAAGATATCTTACTATTCCCTCCAAACCCTCGGATGAACCAGGTAAAATTTTTCGAAAGATCTCTCCTTCACTGCTGTTATCTATTTATTCACATATCTAGAACAACGAGAAGAATGAAGAAACAACCACAATCTCTCAAACTCGTTCAGGCAAATTCAAGCCTCTGCGTGTTTAAGTTCAAAAACGGCTCAGAAATGAACAAGCTTGCTTCCCCCCTTCAAAAGGAAGCATTACAGAATAGTCGCACAAATCACAAATCACAATTGACAATAACAAATCAACAGAACAGCATCAGGAACTGGTAATGACTAGAGAGAGTAACAAGGAAATCAAATTCAACATAGAAAAATTAGATGGAGACACATCCTATTTGACTAATATAAACTGTTTCCCACACTAGGCAATGACATAAACAAGACAATAAGAACTTCTGCAAAGCAGATTCTTCACAATGATTTTAACTCAAACCAAAGAAGGCAAAAAAAAAGAAAAAGGCATAGCACAAATAAGGTAAACTAAGCATCTCAAGACAAACTTGCTAAACTCCTCATTTTACCAGAGTTGTTGACTTCCAACATACGAAACCGAGTCAAAGTCTATTTCCTTTTTTAACAAAAGATTTCATCTCAGAAATGTGCTAAAATTCTCGCAAGCTTCCCCCTCTTCACAATAGAATCAAATATTCTCACTACGAAGCATCAACCAATCATGATCAGCGACTGATAATGGCTAGAGAAACCGAAATCAAGTGCAATTCCTCCTCTACACAGATACGAGTTCACTCATAACTGAACTGGAAATCTAGCTTATGGATCTCTCACACGATACGATAAGAGTTCATTCATATGAGAGTTCAAGTAATCATAAGGAGGAACCTCTATTTCACAATTCAACAATGTTTCAAAAACGGATCATCGAAAATCTAACAACATCAAATTCAACGATCAACACAGGAGGAGTGTAGAGAGAGAGAGAGAGAAGGAGACCTGAGGAGCGAATAAGAAAGGAGAAGGAGATCGAGCGGGGCTTGCGGGAGGAGAACTGCTCATAGAGTCTGAGGAAGCACGACGAGTGCGTGAGGAACGATCGCCGGCTGAAGATGAGGTGGCATCTGCGTCGATGATTGATACGGCGTCGTCTTCTCTTCCGTTGGCGTTTCCCATCTTCAAGTGAGAGAGAGACGACGAGGAAAGAGGCAGACGTGAAGAAAAGTGGAGGGAGGACGCGGCGTGGGAGGTAAGTAGTAGATGGACCCTAGTTTTATGATTAATTACGCTATTGCCACATTCAAGTGGGTAAACGAGTGTGACTTGGCGTCTAGAAAGTAGATAATGATGATCCTTTTTTATAAAAATCATCAGAAAATTCATTTTTTTTTTTTTGATTCAGATTAGTGTGGAATCTATACTCTATTAAAAGCTCTAAATAAAGCATTTTGAGCTATGCCACATCTGCAAGAATAATTAACCAATAGGAAGTGTGCATTTGAACACATCAGCACATCCTTATCTATCGATTGAGCTTAAAAATATTTTTCCCAATTTGGTTTTGGCCCATCAAAACCAGATCTAACTATCAAAAACCCTTAAAAAATTAGACGTCGATGACTTCTTCATCGCCTCTCTCTCTTTATGGATTCCCTCTACTGTGAAAAAGATCATGAGGAGTTGCAGGATTTAACAGAACAAAAAAGGAGAAGCAGGAAGAGAGAGGATAGAAACGAGATAGGACTCGAGTCAAAACGCCATCGATATGCGTTTTCGGACACCGAAACGTTTTTAATTTTATCTGTGAGGTGTAAGGATAATCATGGTCACCATGCTCAGGAGGGCTAAGTTTATGTTTCCTGGTCGTCAAAAGATTATCGTTAGCAGGAAATGGTCGTACTATAAAAGAGTAGAATTCACAGAGTTTATGTTTCATCTCTCAGTTACTGATATTTTATCATGATGATGTGAAGTGAGCTTTATTCTTGGGATGGCTGGTTCACATAAATAGGTTCACGAACAAGCGCATACATGAGAAGTCGATGTTTTGACAAAAGATGTTGGTTCTGCTGATTTGGAATGACATGCAGTGGTAAGAAAAACTACGTTGGGGACTTTGTTTTAACTTCCCTATAGTTTATGTTCTGCAAACCAAAGTTACACTTATTAAGATCTTTCTTTTTCTTTTTTCCTAAGGATGTTATTATATTTAGATCTTCTGTCACATTGTTTTCCCATAAAATTTTCACACATATATGCAAATATGGAATTGATCAATCACATTGTCTCCATACATTTTCTTATAAAAACTCAGACACAAGCTTTCAACAATATCAAGTTGAACATCAGCTCAGGAGATAAGGAGAGGTTCAGTCTATATTCAGAAGCCTGATATACTGTGGCTTACGGTTGATTCTATGATGTGCAAAATCACTACGCAGTTATTAGAAGTCTTCGATAAGAAAATGCATCAATCAAGACATTTTACAGAGATGAAAAGAAGAAACACTGGATCATAAATAAGTTCTTCTGAGATAAAAGAAATGGGTTAGACGGTTAGTCTGAGATAATGCAAATTGTAGCAGCCACTTGCTTTCTGTCTTTGATGGTAGACAAATAAATGCCTTCTTTACTACTAATAAGTTCCAACCAAAACGAGAAGCAAGTGAATGTTTTCATCCAATAAATTGAAAACCTAAGTTCCAAACAATTAACGAAAGAAATTACCTTTTTAAAGTTTTTTTTAAGTAATAAAGTTGAGTCTGTGTTTATAGAAAAAAACACTCTTGCATACTGACTTTTATTCAAATAGTTCTGCCACTGTCAACTGCATCATTCATGAATATAGCTAGCACCTTCCATACTATCTCTGTGGCACATTGCAGGGGCATAGGAAGAAGACAACAACATGACGTAATGGCCACTCCCTCCACACTAGCCTTTCAATTCTCCTGCACCACTATTTTTATTTTTAAGAAAACCTTGACCTCCAAGAACATAGTACATCCACAAAAAGATACCCAGAAGTATCTTTTTTTTTTTTAATCTTCTTAATAACAGATTGTTTAAAAAAATATGAGTTACGTTACTGGTTTAATTTAGTTATAACTAAAATTAGGTGTTCTCAATTGCAGGCATAATAATTGTGCAAATATTTTAAAGTAAGCCCATTATCAGTTGAAATAAAACAAAATAAATTAATTTCATACTTTCAAAATATTTAATAAAAATTAAATAAATAAGCTCTATATATACATAAAAATTAAATATTTTTTATCACGTGACATAAACTAAATGAAATGTTAAGTTTTTTTTTACATATGATAAAGGTTGTCAATATAATAAAATTATCTTTTATTGCGTAAAATAAATTTAAAAATATTAATATATGCATTAATATTAAATATAATATATATATATATATAAAGATTTATCTTTTATAATTTAAAACTTTTTTAAAGAAATCTGATGTAAAATATCTTTTGAATAACACAACTTAAAATATTTTTATACGAGGATGATTATTAAATAAATGAATTTTAATTTAATTTATTATTAATTAATATTCAAATATAATTTTTCATTAATGTAATAAAGACTTTGTAACATAATATAAATTATTTTAAATAATGATAATTGTCAAATCATTGAAATTCATTTTTAATTAATTACTAATTATATATTAAATTGGTTTTATTTTATGGTTAATTAATAAAAACTATTTTTAGATAATAATAATCATCTAACCAATGAAATTTGTTTTTAATTAAGGTTAATTATATAATCATGGCTCAAACAAACATTTAGATTAATAGCAACAACATTTTATTTCTAATGACAAATGATTCTAATGTGGCAGACCTCTCCCAAACTTAATTGAAGGACTACAATAATAAATTAACATAAGAGACAGATGATAATTGGGAAGTTGATATAGTTGAACATGGTTGAGATAGATGATAATTGGGAAGTTGGACAAGGAACTTTCAGGATATAACTGTTTGCAAATATGAATTAAATTTATAATCCAGTTGGATCGATACGGCCATTGACCTAACTGTAATGTCAAGTAAATGTTAAGTTTGGTATTCAAAAACATTGATGGCAAAAATAAATTAATATCATCCAGTTTATTAATAAATTGAATAAATAAACATTATTCCTAACAACAAAATATATACAATCTTAAATTTATATAATATTATTTTAAATTTAAATAAAAGTCAATTCATTTTATATACTTAATTTTCAGATTTTGATAGTGATTATTTTCTACCAATATTTTGAAGATAGAAAATTTAAAACTACAAATTAAAATATTAGTGTAGTTATTATGTAAGTTATTTATACCAAAATTAAAATGAGGGTTCTGTTAAAAAAAACTAGAAAATCTATATTTTATTAAAAAAAATTGTTCATTATTAGTATTACTTATGAAACTCTTACTTGCATTAACAACAATGATTTTATCAATCGTTAACTTTTTTCTATTTAATTTAACATTATATTTATTCTATTTTTAATTATAAGTAATTATACAATATATCATATATATAAACAATATGATTATAAAATTTGTTTAACAGAATAGCCGCGCGTAGCGCGGCCAAAAGATCTAGTTCATTTAAATCCATCTATATTTTCGAAAATGATGATACTTTAGTTTTTTTATTCGCTTTTTTATGATGATGATACTTAGTTACTTTGATAGAACATATGAAATGAGCATTATAAGCATGGGTTGCATGTACTATATGTTCTCACTGTTGACCACAAATGCAAGGTTGAAAACGTGCGTTCAACTCAATGTTGTACATACTTTTGAGTGAAAATTATTTCATGTTATAGTTAAGATTAAGTACTTTTAGATTTGGTTTTTGGTGGGTACTATCATGGTCTAATCTCAAATATAACTTTTGATAAAAAAAAACAATTTCTCAAATATAACTAGGATTAATGAAACCTTATACTGGCTGCATCTGTTAGCCATTAACAATCATTCAAATTTTTATTTATTTATCTGGATTAGCATTTGCTTGATCACCAATAACTCTACAAAAACAAGGAGCCACTATTAACAATATAAAAAGGATGTAAAACTGTATTTTCCTTACAATAGCAAGAGTAACTTACTTACCAATGTTTTTTTTTCAAAATCTCTACCAACTGGAGTCAACTTTCCAGTTGTAAGAATTTTCGTTTGATTCAACTTGAAACAAACACCTGTGACATCACTGGTGTTTGTTAGTATCTTGGAAATTTCTGATTTTCACACCCTCATGCTTAGTTGCTTACAATATAGACATTCACTATAAATTTGTTGAAACTCTCATTAATTGAGCTATAAGTTCTCCATTGACTTGAACTTTGATGCAGTGTGTGAAACGCCATATTCAGAGAATAAATTTCTTCTAATTAAGACATATTCAAAACCAAAGCATATTATCCTAATCTATATTATAATAGTACACTTTCTAGGCTCCACAACGCGCCACGTCAGCAATTTGTGGGTCCCGTAGGTATTTTTTAAAAACTTATAGTCTTGGTAAGATGATTACAAACAATGAAATACACTTTAGCCAAGTGGTATAAGGTGTCTAATTAAGCATGCAAGATCGTGGGTTCAAACCACGCAGCCATCATTTATTTTTGATTTTTTTATTTGGGTTATTATCATATGGGCTTTTTGTTTGTAAGGCTTTTATGTTTTTTTTTATGGCTTATTGTTTTAAAGATCAAAATAGTTGGATAAACCCTAAAGCTTAACATGTTCAAACCAAAATAGTTAATAATGGATGCAAAAACGAACAAAAAAAAACAAAAAAAAAAAGCAAGTCTCACGCGGTTGCCTACGCGGATGTAAGCCTTAAAACTATCCTATTATAATATAGTTCAACCCCAAAATAATAAAAAATGAATCCAAAAACGAACCGACCAAAAAAAAATGTGAATCTCACGCGGCTACCTACGTGGATGGCTTAATGAGGCTTGAATAATATAGATTAAGAGCTCAAAAAGTGAATCATTGCACATATTTCCTAATATATATTTTCAAAAAATTTGTATGTGAGATAAAAAAAAAAAATTAATTATTTTGTTTATCTATTTAATGAATATGTACTTTCTCTTACATTTTAATAACTACTATAATTTCATTAAAAACATTCCTCACCACCGATTTCAGACTCCGGCAAATGGATTCCCACAGTCGATGACGCCGTAAATAAAAATGTCATATCATTTATGAACAAAACTCAAACTTACAAAAAACATATATAAAAACCTATCTAATGAAACTTAAACAAGGAATGTTAACTTAATTAAGGTCATTTTCAAATTGATAAATTGTTTAATACAAATATAAATAGTATAAATATAGAATTATATCAAGTTTTGACCTACGATATAAAAACTATTTACAGCAAAAAAAACACCTACTTTTACACACTAAAAACTATATTATAGCCTAACTTCATATAAACCTTACATCGCATATAAATAACATTTAACTCATTCCTAAATATATTTTCAAAAAATTTGTAAGTGAAATAAAATAAAATAAACAACAAAATTTAAGTATTTTCGTTATTTATTAAATGAATTTGTAATTTCTCTTACATTTTAATAAATACTATAATTTCATTGAAAACATTCTTCACCACCGACTCCAGACTTCCGCGAATGAATTCCCATAGTCGATGACGCCGTAGATAAAAATGCCACATCATTTATGAACAAAACCCAAACTTACAAAAAACCATATATAAAAACCTATCTGATGAAACTTAAACAACGAATATTAACTTAATTAAGGTTATTTTTAAATTGATAAATCGTTTAATACAAATATAAATACTATAAATATAGAATTATATCAAGTTTTGACATACGATATAAAAAATATTTACAGCAAAAAAAAAAGAAATAGACACCTACTTTTACACACTAAAAATTATATTACAACATAACTGTTCCTATAAACCTTACTTCACATATATATAACATTTAACACATTAGATATACAATATTTTCACTTTACACTCTTACTACATTCTTTCCATTTCATTATTATTTGGTGTCATTAGAAGAATCCACTAAACCATTAAATCAAAAAAAAATATACGCAAACATAATGATTCCGGCCCCGCGCTTGCGCGGGGAGTATACAACTAGTAAACAAGAAATATAGACTTACTTTATTGTATAAAAAATAAAATAGAGCAAAGAAATCATGTGTTGAAAATAATAATACATTTGTTTAGCTATAAGTTTTCTGTTTAGAATACTATATTAATCACATGCTAGATGTATGGACGTGATTACATTTATTATTTGAATAATAATAATATCCTGTAAAATTCAAGTTTGCTGGTTGTTATTTTCACAATATAAATTTTTAAAGTAGACTTATTTGATAGAGTTGATTGATTGATACAGTACTGAATGTTAACGATATATATACATTACTGGCATTTTTATCTATGCATTTTTTAGTAAACATATATGTACTCGTGTATCTTGGTATTTTGATACATTTTTATATCTACAAAGAGTTGTTTGTTAAAAGGTGTAAAGTGTTGCCTAGAGAAATTTTCTAAAAGAGATATCTAGTTAGTTAATAGGAGTGGTGTCTACAGGGGTCATTAGCTTAAGAAAAAAAAAACAAAATATACATTGAATTTGAAATGTTATATAGACACCGTCATTTTTAACATTTGTTATCAGTGCTAGCTAAAATGCTGGTTTATAAGGTCTTTTTTCAACATAGCTACTAGTACCTGATTTAAAATTGTTATCATACAAAAAGTAAAGAACAATGAAATCTCTCATGTCCGGCAAACAATTTAAAATTCTGAATAACAACTATGACACGAAATGCACAATTAAATTCGCCGTATTAAAATTCGAAAATGGATTCATATTTTAATTGTAGTGGAAACTAGGGTTTTGCTGTTAAGTGTTTTACTGTATTACTCTTAAAAGCGCCACCCAAAACATACACACACACACAGACACTCCCTTCTTCATCGGTCTTCCTCCATACTCTGCTTTCTTTTATCACATTTGCATCCTCTCCGATTCCACGATCCTCTTAATCCATTCCAAATTGACTTAACAAGCTTCTGATCATGGCGGAGACTGAGAGATCATTGGCCGATGATCGTGAAATGATCGGCGGTTGCGAGACTAAATCTCCATGGAAAACAGCTGCTTCTCCAATAGAGACACCTGTAATGGGTGCTCACTCGTGGCCTGCACTCGCCGACGCTCAACAACAACCGCGTCCTAAGAATCCTCCTCCGGCGCCGGCGGCTCCGCCGTCTAAATCCATTTCAACTTCCCCTCAGGTTTATTAGTCAATTTCATTGGAAATAATGATGTATTAATATGCAGTTAGGCAGTTGGAATAGTTATCAGATTGATTGAGACTTGAGAGCAATGTTGGCTTGGCAGTTAGTTAGGCAGTTAGATCATCTCCAACCCCACTCCATATTTTACTGTGGAGTGGCAAATGGAATAATGAACAAACAAAAAAAATGATTACTCTCTATATATGGAGTAATGAGATTTTTGTTTGTTCATAACTTCATTTCCCACTTTGTTCATCACTTCATTTCCCACTCCATTTTACTCTAAATTATAGAGTGGGGGTTGGAGATGCTCTTAGACGCTTTATAAAATATTTTTTATTAGTTGCGCGACTAGATTGACTAGTCGCGCCTAGACCGGTAGTGTTGAATTTGATGCGTAATGGTTAATGACGTTTTAGTTGTTAATGTGATTGACGCTGTTTAGCATTTGAATTTGTTAATTTTTTTTCTTTGATCTTTAGGTTGTAACTAGTAATGCTAAATCCAAGGCTAGTGGAAAGGGTAATAATCCTGCACACAAGAATCAATCTGGCCGTTATTCAAAGCCAGGCTCAAAGAGTAACCAAAGTGTTGGTACGCCTCCTCCTCCTCCTCATTGCCCTATGCACGCTGTACCTTATCATCCACCACCTATGGTCTATCCTACTGGTCCAGATTTTCCACATGCTCTTTATCCTCCTTTCCCGATTCCTGGAGCGCCTGTTGTTGCAGAGTCTGGCAATGAGAAGCCATCCTCTGTTCAGCCACCTCTTGAAAGAGATCCTTGGCAGCATCAGAGCGGTTTTGCTCCAAGAAACATGCCGCATGGAGCTGGTGGACCTAGGAACTTTATTAGACCTCCGTATATGGGACAAGCTCCTGGGTTTATGGTTGGTCCAGGTCCAGGCTTTCCAGGTAAGATATTAATTCCTCTGTTAAAGGACGTTAAGATAGAGGATAACTGTTCATTTCTGGTGCATGATTGCTGTTTGTTTTTTGTTTCTTCATTTTGACATAGGTCCTATGTACTACTTACCGGTTCCACCCCCTGGAGCTATAAGAGTCTATCCTCCACTTTTTGCTCCATACCCTGGTAACCAGGGTCCTCAAGCTCTCTCTCCAGAAAAACTTGACTTGCAGGGTAGAGTCATAAAACAAATAGAATATTATTTCAGGCAAGCTATGCGTCTATTCTGCATTTAATACTATGTTAAGCTGACACCTCTGATGTGCCTCAAGGAATGTATTGGAGTATATCCATGCCTTGAGTCCATTTTTGCTGGCTGATCTTGCTGTGCTCACCCTTCCGTATATTTATTCCTATTTTTTCAGTGACGAAAATCTTGAGAATGATAAGTATCTCATTTCCTTAATGGATGAACAAGGATGGGTTCCCATCAAAATTATAGCTGACTTCAAAAGGGTAAAACTCGTAACACTTGCATTACTCTGTTTTGTCATCTGATTTACAAAAATGTGTTGCTTTTAATTTCTCTATTTTTACTCTTGAATTACAGGTTAAGATGATGACCATGGATGTAGAGTTTATAGTCCATGCGTTGAGATTTTCTAAGTCCGTTGAAGTGCAGGTCAGACTACCACAAGCCGTCTTACTTGTTTTAGTAATAATAAGCGTTGGGATTTTCTAATTCTGCTGAAGTGCTGGTGCTTTTATAGGGTGACAAGATACGGAAGCGTGACGAGTGGTCTAAGTGGGTTCCTGCATCCAAAAGGTCGGCCTCTGAGGAGAAAATTGGAGACAATGCCAAAGATTCCTCAGAGAGTGTAACAAGCAAAGATAACTGTAAAAACTCTTCAAAGCCTACTGCGTTCTCTTCGGAGGTAGAGCCTTGTTTCCTTTAACTTGAGATTTTGTAAAACTGCCAAATTTTCGTTAAGTTGATAGCTATTCCGTTTGTTGTACAGGGAGCTCAGTTATCAAGAACCAATGTATATGAAAGTGAAAATCCGAAATCATTTTCAGACGAAAAAAGAAAGATTGATGACTTGTCAAGCGATTTTTCCAACACATTCTTGCTTGATGAGGAAATGGACCAGGAGCATAAAAGCCCAAGAAAGAGTGGTCTTTCCATGTCCAAAAGGTAGTGTATGCACAACTTGATTACCCTTGATATTGCTTCATCCCTCTTTGTTTTCCAAATTGATTCTTCTGGATGTGAACCTGAATCTGCATAGAAAGGTTTTGGAGTTGATTGGTGTCTTTGAATTCCTTTAGGATTGATGATGAAGACGATGATATTGCTGGTGATGATCATGATATTCAGAAACTTGTAATTGTTACCCAGGTATTACATTGATTGAACTTTCTGTCTTGTCTATATACATGAACACTTTGTTGGTGGAATTGAGTCTTCATGTTCCATTGAATGCTGGACAGAATAGTGGTAGAAGTGATGGCACTGGAATCAGAGTGACAAAGGCCAAAAACATTCCCAAGGAGCTTGCCTCCACAATAAACGATGGTCTTTACTACTATGAGCAGGTTAGGCTTTTCTTTGACAGAATTATATATGATTGTACCTTTTATGTAGTCTAATTTCAAAACACCAACCTGATGATGAAACAGGAGCTGAAAAAGAATCAACCTGGTCGTAGGAAAAACAATTCCCATTTGGATAGCAGAGATGGAAAAGTAAAAGCTGAGGGAGGAATGAATAGTAAATCAGGCGAAAATTCCGCAGCAAATGGTGGAGGTGAAGAGCATAGCATAAGGAGGAAGCAGAGTAAGGGAGTCCACAAACATCATATAGCACATGCACGGAGGTTCTTCTCGAGCAACATAAGAAACCATGGAGCTAGTCTCAGTTCTCATACTTCAGAAAGTCCACCTAGTAGCTCCATTGGATTTTTCTTTGGTTCTACACCACCAGAAAGTCATGGGTCAGTATCCTAGCAATATTATGATATTCCCAACTTATTCTTAATTTTTTTTTGCTTTTTCATGTTTTAATAATTTTATTTGTGTGACTTGTCACAGCCATAGGCTTTCAAAATTGAGTTCATCACCACAATGCGGCAGCAGTCCACCTGTGGGGTCTTTACCAAAATCATTTCCACATTTTCAACATCCGAGCCACCAATTGCTGGAAGACAATGGGTTTAAACAGGAAAAGTGAGTGTAGTTATTTGGTTTAGACAACTTGAGTTTTTTGTATGGAGCATTGCTTTTATTAAAGGATAAGATTGTATCTTGAGGTCTTCTAATCTCATTTCTTTATTCTACACATAGGTACTTGAAGTATCGCAAGCGGTGCTTAAACGAAAGAAAGAAGCTGGGGAGCGGATGCAGTGAGGTAAGAAGTCTCATGGCAATCTCCTCACATTATCAAATGAAACACCCCATTACTGTATCATGATCATAAACCCTCAGTTCTGGAAATGTGTCTGAATTGTATCTGGTTCTGTTTTCCAGGAAATGAACCATTTGTACCGATTTTGGTCGTATTTCCTCAGAGAAACGTTTGTTCCGTCAATGTATGAAGACTTCCAGAAGTTTGCTCTTGAGGATGCAGCTGGCAATTACAACTACGGGTTGGAGTGTCTCTTTAGGTTTTATAGGTAATAATACCTGCTGCTTCTGTTTTCCCTCTACGCACTTAGTTTAATAAACCCAACCTCACCAATATTACTCTGTCTCTTCAGCTATGGTCTGGAGAAACAATTCGAAGAGGACCTTTACAAGGACTTCGAGCAGCTGACACTTGACTTCTACCATAAGGGGAACCTATATGGCTTGGAGAAATATTGGTAAGGGCTCGTTTTGGCTCCTGTTAATGAAATGTTGTGTTTCTTCGTGATTATTACTCTCTTAAGAAACTATTTTATTGTGCAGGGCATTCCACCATTATCGAGGACAAAAAGAAGCAACGATAAAGAAGCACCCTGAGCTAGAGAAGCTACTCAAGGAAGAATACCGTAGCATAGCTGATTTCCGAGCCAAGGATCCAATCACGAGCCAAAAAGATGACAAGGCTCGCTAATGATACCGTATCATATAGGCCTTGTGAGCAAATGATCCCCTCTAATCTTGACCTTAAATTTTATTTCTGCGCATTTTTCTGTCTGGGGAAGTGACCAAAGCCAAGTGAAAGCTATCACTCTGAATTTTTCAAGTTCTTTGAGGCGTTTGTTCATCTATTGACAGAGTTTCGCCCTTCTCCCCAAAAAGAGTTGTAATCTTTTTTTTTTTTTTTTGTATATATAGAGATTATATTTTCTAGTTACTCAGTTTTGAAACAAAAAGAGAGGTGATTGTAGTTTCTCTTTAGTAACGACAACAGATTTGTTTTCTTTCTTTTCTTTTTTGTTAAAATCAGCGTTAGAAAACAAGACTACCAAGGTTAAACAGTAAAAAGGCTAAAAAATATTGTCTTAAAATTCTACCAATTTGATTAAAGCATAGCTACATATATATATATATATATATATATATATATATGCATATCTTTATGATAAATCAGAGCTAAATAATACATGTTATTTTTTAGCTAAAAATCTAATTTTTTTTCGTGTGGTTATTTGGCAAAAAATCCTAATTAGATTTGTTTTTATTTATTTGTAAGTAAAAACATTCCCATGCAAAAAACAAAATTCCTTCTAAAAGAAAATTCCCATGCAAAAAAAAATTCACAATACTAGCTTATATATAATTCTGAAAGGTGGTCTAATAGATCGATCTCCTCCTCCGCCTCTCTCAAAGTTGCAGGAAACCCTAAACCTATAAAAAAAAAAAAAAAAAAAAAATCGTTGCGGCATTCGATATGGAAGGAGGTGCGGGATTCTCATCAATTATTTCTTATTATTTCCACCGTTGTACGTAATTTCTGATTCGATAATGGTTGGTGGATTAGGTGATGCGTTAGCGTTACAAAAGCAAAAGAAGACGGGAGTGTGGTGGGACTTGAACACGTGTCCGGTTCCGGCAGGGGTTGAGGCTGGTCGTGTTGTTGCGTGTATTGAATCTGCGTTGGAGAAGGAGATGGGTCATGGTTGTCAAGTCTACATCTATGCCATGGGCAACCTAGAATACATCTCTAGTGACCTCTTGGAACAGATCGGTTCATCTGGAATCGATGTTCTTCACGCCCCCCGCCGTAAGTTTCAGTCTCTCTAATCAAATCAATTAATTAATTATTAGTGTCACACTGGCCTAATAATAATAATAATTTATATTATACTTCTTAGGTGGGAACGACTTATATCATTGTCTACGCGAATGGTCTGAGTTTAACCCACATGATGTGGCTAACGTAATGCTGATATCCTGTGATTATACGTTGGCTGATCCTTGTCTTTTTCGGCTTGTTGAATTCACTGGTTTTATTGCATATCCAGAAGATCATCGGCCACTTACCCTTGACCGCAATGATGGTCAGACAGTCTTTGTCAAAGAGTTTGTCTGGGAAACTTTGTTGAATGACAACATGAGTAGAGGTGAGATCGTGAGTAAATATGATGAACCTTCCTACACTTGCTACATATGCTTTGATTCTTATGAAGCATGTGGCGAATTCGTCACTCATCTCAAGAGTGATGAACACAAAAGGGAGGTAAGCAAAGCAGAGCAGAGCATCCCTCAGCTTTCTTTTTGTATCATTAATTATTACATTTTTTTTTTTTTTTTTTTTTGTAAACAAAATTGTCAATGTACACTTACTTGTGCAGTTGCGTTATATGGTTCCCAAAGACTCAGAGTTCGGTAAGCCTAAACATTTTTGCCAAGCTTGCGATTATCCCGCCTACGACTACCATAACTTTCTCATCCATACCCAAAGTGAAGAACATAATCTCAAGGTAAGAAGCATAAGCACCAACTCTTGTATTCAATAAAAATAATAATAATTTGATCCCATTTGGAAATGGTTTGTTTTCAAGCTCAAGAATCTGGCTGAGGATTGCGAAAGCAGGAAGAGAAGTCCACAAGTGCATCTCTTGAACGAAAGAAACAAGATGCAATCTGTTGCACGAGGAAAATAAGAAGAGGTTGCCTAAGTAAGAAGAAGCTAGAGTGCTTTTGTGTTAAGTTTACTAGATAACACCAGTCCTTTGTTCTTACCACTTAAATTTTTCTTTAATTAATACTCTTTATCATTTTAAAATGAAAATCTTAATCCTGTTAAAACCAGTCCTTTGTTCTACCACTTAAAATCATTTGTGTTAAGTTGATGTAATGTAGCTTCTACGAAAATGGAACCAATAACTAGATGTAGTAATCCATCCATTAGAGTTTTTGCAGTAACATTTTATTCCGTTTTCGAATTGCACTGATTTATAGACAATTTCTCACCAGGATCAGAAAGGCAACTTGTGTGTAGCTCAAATGGTACCACCATAGATAACTAAGCTTCTAGGAGTGCAGAACCAGTGAATAATCTTTGGAGTTGATACTTGGTTCAGTGACACTGTTGGCGAAGAACATCTCAAAGCTTCCACTGGAGTAATCTCTAGAGCTATTTCTGTCTTTAACAGAGCACCAGAGTTGTCATGAATTCCTCTCTCATATTCCTCCAAACTGTTTGCTCTAGCTAGGTTTCTGTGTTTCCAGCACAGAAAAATAATCCTTCATTATACCAGACCATGAGCTGATATATCAGATTTATTTACTACGGAAAATATAAACTCAATAACTTCAAATGTAAAGCAATAAAAATATATAACCTCAATAACTTAAAATGTAAGACAATAAAGAAACAAAGATTTTAGAAAGACATCACAATAGTATGTATCTTAATATCATTAATCTGAACCCAATTGAATTGAGAAAATATCCCAAAATTTCAGATAAACGAGAAACCTGCATGCGGAAACGCCTCTACTTCTTCTTCCCAACGATTTCTCCTCAGTTTCCCCCCTCTATTCTCAGTTGACGCCTCTTCTTCTTCTCAACTTATCTATCTTTTTTTCTCTTGTAACGTTGTTTTTAGGACACATTGCCAATTAAGACATTGCTTAAATACTTTCTTTAAGTTGACTGACCAAGTGCAACTTGTGAGTTGACCATGAACTTCATCTTCTCCTGGTTTAATAAAGAGCACATCCATCCCATTTTCTCTCAGATCATTAGTGATGAGACGGAACTCATTATCACAAGTCATAAACACCAGTTTGTGATCACCAGTTTAATAAAGACCACATCCATCCCATTTTCTCTCAGATCATTCTTGCTTCATTCTAGAGGTAGAGGGACATGCCACAAAGATATAAAATCTTGCCGACATGACTCTAGAACCTTGGAAAATTAACGGACCGACCGTTGGAACGGGATGGATCCACGGACCGAGATAACGGACGTGGATGGCCCATTAGCTGTGTGCGGTCGGGGCGTTACAAAATCAATAACAATATTGTCTTAAAATTCTACCAATTATACATGTTATTTTTTAGCTAAAAATCTAAGTTTTTTTGTTGTGGTTATTTGGCAAATAAATCCTAATTAGATTGTTTTTATTTTATTTGTAAGCAAAAATATTCCCATGCATAACATGAGCACAATACTAGTTTATATATAACTAGATTTTGACCCGCGCTTGAAAAGCGCATAAATTTTTTATGATTAAAAATTTTTATAATTGAGTTTTTTTCTTAATTTAAAGAATATTTTGATATAAAATCAGTTCACCAAAATTTGTGGGGATGATTGTTTTTCATTAGTTTTTAGTTTCAGTTTTTATTTTTAGATTTTTGTTTTTGGTTTTTAGTTTTTAAGTTTCTACTTTTCATTTTCAGTTTTTGGTTTGGGTTTTTAATTTTTAAACCCGCTGAGTTAGTTTGAACTGATATTACCAACAAACAAACTCAAATAATCGAACATCTAATTTAAAACTGAAAAGATGACAACAAATTTAGAAAACAAATTTTGAAATAGTTTATTTTGTAAATAAACAGAGCAAAAAAATATAACATGTGTTTTCAGCTTTTGGTTTTGGATTTTAGTTTTTAGATTTGGTTTTTGGTTTTGCTTTACATTTTTTTAATTAGTAAATTATTTAAGATAAATAAAAAAATAAATTATTTAAAAGTTACCATTGAAATTATCAAAAAAAGTGATTGTTATTTAAATTAAAAAATATATTAACTTGTTTTAAAGTACATGATTTAAATAAATGATTAATAATAGATAATTTTGTTTTGTTAAAAATATTAAATAACTTTTGGGTCTGAAAATAATAATTGATTTTTTGATCTTTTGAAGTGAAAAGTTTATTCTTTGGAGTTTTTTCTTAATACTAAGCCCAAAAACCAAACTATATAATTTTTTCAAAAAATAAAAATAAGCCCAAGACTATATTCCATAAATAACCACTTGTTTAATTCAAGTATAATTAGTAGATTTCTATATTTCATATTTTGATGATATATATTCTTTTAGAACATTCCATATTTGTAGGAGAAAATATGTATTTTCGGTATACACATAGATATCTGCCGTATTTTGAAGGTAGTTTACATTAAGGTCTCTTTTTACATTAATTGTGTTGGTTTAATTTAATTAATACGGTTCAATCAATTATATGAGTTATATTATTTGTAACATTTTAGAAAGAGTAGATTCTTAAAGGTCGTGTAATAGATAGATCATCTCCTCGTCCGCCTCTCTCAAAGTTGCAGGAAACCCTAAAACCTATCAAAAAATAAAAAAATTCGTTGCGGCATTCGATATGGAAGGAGGTGCGGGATTCTCATCAATTATTTCTTATCATTTCCACCGTTGTACGTAGTTTCTGATTCGATAATGGTTGGTTGATTAGGTGATGCGTTAGCGTTACAAAAGCAAAAGAAGACGGCAGTGTGGTGGGACTTGAACACGTGTCCGGTTCCGGCAGGGGTTGAGGCTGGTCGTGTTGTTGCGTGTATTGAATCTGCGTTGGAGAAGGAGATGGGTCATGGTTGTGATGTCTACATCTATGCCATCGGCAACCTAGAATACATCTCTAGTGACCTCTTGGAACNGATGCGTTAGCGTTACAAAAGCAAAAGAAGACGGCAGTGTGGTGGGACTTGAACACGTGTCCGGTTCCGGCAGGGGTTGAGGCTGGTCGTGTTGTTGCGTGTATTGAATCTGCGTTGGAGAAGGAGATGGGTCATGGTTGTGATGTCTACATCTATGCCATCGGCAACCTAGAATACATCTCTAGTGACCTCTTGGAACAGATCGGTTCATCTGGAATCGATGTTATTCACGCCCCCTGCCGTAAGTTTCAGTCTCTCTAATCAATTAATTAATTAATTAGTGTGTCACATCAATCATCATCTGGCCCTGGCCTGCCTAATAATAAATTATTTCTATATATATTTCTTAGGTGGAAACGACTTATATCATTATCTACTCGAATGGTCTCGGTTTAACCCACATCTGGCTAGGGCTAACGTAATGCTGATATCCTGTGATTATACGATGGCTGATCCTTGTCTTTTTCGGCTTGTTGAATTCACTGGTTTTATTGCATATCCAGAAGATGATCGGCCACTTACCCTTGACCACGATGATGGTCAGACAGTCTTTGTCAAAGAGTTTGTCTGGGAAACTTTGTTGAATGATAACATGAGTAGAGGTGAGATCGTGAGTAAATATGATGAACCTTCCTACACTTGCGACATATGCTATGATACTTTTGAAGTATGTGGCGAATTCGTCACTCATCTCAAGAGTGATGAACACAAAAAGGAGGTAATTGCAAAGCAGAGCAGAGCATCCTCAGCTTTCTTTTTTGTATCATTAATTATTACATTTTTTTTTTGTGAAAAAATTGTCATGTACACTTGTGCAGATGCGTAATATCGCTCCCATAGACTCATTCGGTAAGTATAAACATTTTTGCCAAGCTTGCAATTATCCCGCCTACGACTACACTAACTTGCTCATCCATACCCAAAGTGAAGAACATAATCTCAAGGTAAGAAGCATAAGCAGGCACCTTTTACATTTGTAACCATGCAACTCTTGTATTCAATAAAAATAATAATTTGATCCCATTTGGAAATGGTTTGTTTTCAAGCTCAAGAATCTGGATGAGGAAAATGCTCAAGAAAAGGATTGCGAAAGCAGGAAGAGAAGTCCACAAGTGGATCTCTTGAACGAAAGAAACAAGATGCAATCTGTTGAACGAGGCAAACAAGAATAGGTTGCCTAAGGAAGAAGAAGCTAGAGAGTGCTTTTGTGTTAAGTTTACTAAATAACANATGGTTTGTTTTCAAGCTCAAGAATCTGGATGAGGAAAATGCTCAAGAAAAGGATTGCGAAAGCAGGAAGAGAAGTCCACAAGTGGATCTCTTGAACGAAAGAAACAAGATGCAATCTGTTGAACGAGGCAAACAAGAATAGGTTGCCTAAGGAAGAAGAAGCTAGAGAGTGCTTTTGTGTTAAGTTTACTAAATAACACCAGTCCTTTGTTCTATCACTTAAATTTTTCTTTAATTAAACTCTTTATCATTTTAAAATGAAAATCTTAATCCTGTTGAAACCAGTCCTTTGTTCTACCACTTAAAATCATTTGTGTTAAGTTGATGTAATGTAGCTTCTACGAAAATGGAACCAATAACTAGATGTAGTAATCCATCCATTAGAGTTTTTGCAGTAACATTTGAATCCGTTTTCGAATTGAATTTATTGACAATTTCTCACCAGGATCAGAAAGGCAACTTGTGTGTAAATCAAATGGTACCACCATAGATAACTAAGCTTCTAGGAGTGCAGAACCAGTGAATAATCTTTAGTTGATACTTGGTTCAGTGACACTGTTGGCGAAGAACATCTCAAAGCTTCCACTGGAGTAATCTCTAGAGCTGTTTCTGTCTCTAACAGAGCACCAGAGTTGTCATGAATTTCATTCCTCTCTCATATTCCTCCAAACTGTTTGCTCTAGCTAGGTTTCTGTGTTTCCAGCACAGAAAAATAATCCTTCATTAATTTAAAGATATACCAGACCATGAGCTGATATATCAGATTTATTTACTACGGAAAAATATAAACTCAATAA